GGAATGGACGCCACTTAGACACACTTTGGGAGAATGTGGAAATAATTGGAGGCCATCAATTGTTGATGTTTACAATAGGTGATTCCTATTCAATTATTTGGGATACTTTTACTGGTTTCAGTTGAAAACCTCTGCATTTCTTTGACATTTTTTAAGGTCAAAGCATTTTTCTGTATATTTTTTAAGGACTAGCTACATTAAACCAAATAAATGAGATTTCCTACTTTAACCCTTAGATGCACGAGTGACTGGACCCTACACTCTTCCATAAGTGGGTCAAAAAGGACCCGTAATAGAATAATATGTGGGTTTTTTTATGCCATTGTTGTCATTTTGGTTAAGAAAAATCACTTGTATAATATTTTGTGTTATATTTTGGTTCACACTAGAAATATTTTATATTGAATTTTTCACTATTTATAATTTTAGAAAAAAAAATTACATTTGAAAAAAACGAAATTCCATTTTTGACCCACTTATGGAAGCTTGGGGTAGTAATACAAAAACTACAATTTCTTAAAATGTACATTTAAAATATGAATGGCATGATATCCAAAACATGTTTTTTGAGGAATAGCTGGAATATGAAATGATAAAAAAATGTAATTACAAAGATACTTAAAGACACCACCTCACCGGGTCAAAAAAGACCCACTTATGCATCTAAGGGTTAAAAATGTTGCTATGAATCTATTTCTCTCCTAACAGCTACAGTATATCTTCATTAATTATACTTGGACTTCATCCTGAATCTATCCTAAATTGATATACAGTTCATCCTCCTTTCTGAGGGAAACACTGTTCTTGGCTCACATTCCTTCGTCCCCCTTCTCCATCCCGTATGAGCACACGTCCCGTATTTCATTTAGTGAAGACTTCCTCTGAACCACATGCTCTTAAAGCGGCCATGATTAATCAAGCCAGAGTGTTTTCTTCTTCCACGTCTCCCGGATCAGGGGCTGCCTACAGGGAGTTTAATTCCTAGCGCTTGCCTTTTGGTGCTTTCATTTAACCGGTGTTATCACAGGCTCGGGATGAAAGGGCCAGGGCATGAGTGGAAATACAGAAGGTTAATTCCTCTTTTGGCATTGGAGGTTAAGTAAAGTTCAATGAAATATTAATGTGATGTCTAAGTCAAGGGGTTAAGCAGGAAAAAGTCCACAGAAGTTTTTTTTTGGACAGAGAATGACCCATGAATCAAGATATTATGATGAAAAGGAAACAAAAAAGAAATGTTATGTCAGTAGTAAGAAAGGCAGGAATATTTTACGTGTGCATTGACATTTAATTCTTCTCGGTTATGATGTTATAAAAATGTCTACATTTCACGGGGCTGTGTTGAAGGGGCATGCAAAGTATAATTGTTCATATTTTGGTGTAACTAAATGGGTGTGAGTAGCTCAACAAATTTGCGAACATGTAACATGTGACATCATTGCTCATGACAGGCCAATAGAAGCATGAATAATATGAGTGTCATTGCATATTTTTCATATAAACTCACTGCAACTCGGGTGAAATATTTAGGCACGATAAGTGAATGAGCAAATTGACACTGAAGAGATAATGGATTTTTCTGTTGTATCAATATTTGGGGAATTACGAGCACTTAGAGCGGCGTACGCAAGCGCAGATGTCGGTGGCACGTCGCAGTAATCTAATAGCGGACGCGGATCACAGTGCTAATCCCGGGAAGTGGACAGGAAGGCCTGTGCTCTGCAGGAATGTTTAGACTACCTGAGCCAGGAGACTGCATTTCTGATGGAGAAATGCTAGCTTTCTACTGGTATGCTCACTTTGAACATCCATAGCGGCGAGCAGGTTTTCAAAGCAAAGGGAAGCAGAAATTGAAACTTTTGTACGGAAGTTTTTCGGGAAAAAAAAGTATCTTGATGTGAAGCTGTTTGACAGGTACTACAGAGAAGGGGGCGCTGAAGTTAGAGAACAGAGAATTAAGGGTAAAGGGCAAATTCAAATCAGCTTGGATGTGTCTTACTAGCAGATTCCTCCATTCATAAAAAATTTATGTATATCATAGAAAACGGTAGCCCATATATTTCCATATTTTTCTCCCGCTTATCTTACCTCCAGCCTCTCTCCTGCTCAAGAGGATTCCCTGTGAGCTGCACCTCTCGCAGGAAGTGACATCCCTCCAGACTCTCACACACGTTCTGGGGCTCTGATAGAGAAAAGGAAAATAATTTTTTGCTTTGTCCATTTTTTGTGTAATCTTCCCTTAAAGGAGCCCGATTATTATACTCAATTTTCAGGTTCATATTTTTGTTCCCGTGCTTATATGTCGAAAAAGGTATTTAGCAAATCGTTTCAGCTTCTGACTGAAATAAATCTCGTACAATGTCAGAATCAGAGTCAGAAACAGGTTTATTGCCAGGTAGGTTCACACATACGAGGAATTTCACTTGATGTCATGGTGCACACATAACATATAAAACAAGAAATCTTTGAGGACACCGTAATAAAATATAGTTAAATAGCAATCAAATAAAGCAGTAATTTACATGGAATTAAAATGCTATGAATGAATTATAGGATATATAATATGAAATATGAAACAAGAAATATGTGCAGTAAGCAGTATGAACATTGTGTGCGTTAATGTAATGCATATACGAGACTACGTTGTGGCTGAGGTAAGTGTCAGTGTTGGAGCGATAGCCAATAGAAGCATGAGTGTTACATAGTGAGGTCACTTTGTCCAGGAAATAAGCAAATGGAGGCGTTTCAGGCAAGGGGGGGGGACCATTTACAAACACATATATAACACACTACAGGAAAGTGAAACCCCCAAAAGCATAATAGGGCCCCTTTATCCAGTGTCTCATCTTGTTATGTAGCTAAATAAATAGATGATGCCTCTTGTTTCCATTAAGTCATACACTCTACTCTGACAGCCAGCAATAAGACAATATGAATGTAGCAGTGTCATGTCAAATAGATCGAATCATAAGTGTTTGAGCTTAAAGGCTTGGTGCATGTACATTTATAGCCATCGTAACTTGTTTCTTTATAAGTAAGATCAATCTGAGTCTGAGTGGGAGGAATGGATTTGAAAGTGGATGTAAAGAAGCTGAAATAACAGCTTGTGAATCTCCCCA